CTCTGTCAGAACTCTACTCCAAAGAGACCAAAGAGAAAAAAGTTCTAAATGTACAAAAATGTGTTTATTGTTTCTAATGGCATAGTAATAGGCATGAAAGCACATTTCATTAGAGTATAAACCAAGAGAATTTTTAAAAGGTGAATATTTATAGGCTATTCAATCATAAAGGATGTCATTTTTACGCATTAAACTAAAAAAAAGCCCCACTAAAACTTAACTAAACAATTTTTAAAATTAACAACTACATTTTATTTTAAAATACAAATAAAAATGAGACAAAATATTAATTTTTTGGAGATAAGTTATCAGTTGGCACCCCTGACACACTTGTTGACACACCCATGGGTAAAGCAATATTTCATTTCTTCTTTTTCTATAAGAGCAAGCTGGTAACAATCTGTTACTAATTTGCTACTTAGTCATTCTTTCAGGTGACTCAACTTGGACTTCTGATCAGCTTTGGCCACATCTACTCTATTTTCTCTATCTGGTTTTATAATTTTCCAATGCCTAAACATAGCTGAGCCCATGATGGAGATCAGAATGTTCTTTTATCCACACACACATCGAGATAGAAAAGACAGTTGATAATACCAACATCTGTGAGGAATACATCATGGCCACAGAACTAGTCTTGGGGAGAATGCAACAGAATTAGAAGAGATGATCCCTAATTTTAAGGATTCTTATAACTTATCAAGGGAGATAAAATACAGAGGAATAGCTCTTGAGTATGTTTACTTAGCACTGTCCAAATGTCAGCTCATCTTCCTGAGCCCTGAGTCTAAAACCAGCTCCAACGAACACTCTTGATCTTTTCTTAAGAAAAATGTTTTTGTATCTGATCAATAGAGATTATTCTTCTTCCTTCCCTCTTTCTCTTACTCCCAACATTTTGGTTCATAAATGCCTAGAGACATCTAGGGACATCTAGAGAATATTCGGCTCTTCTATCACAGATAAAATTGCAATAAAGCACACAGCAGTGGCAACAAGTCATAGGAGAAGACTCTAGACTATCTGGCCGGTGACTAGATTCAAATAAGATGTCATGGAGGTGATGATCTAGGATGTTATCGATATAGGGCATAAGTGCTTAAGGTCACAGGGTAGCCATACTGCATTCTGGTGAGCAAGTGATAGAGTGCGTGTAAGAGTGAATAGACAATAGTGAATCTTTTAGAACACCCTATATATAGACTTACTGTTGTATTGCGTTTTAGTTATTGCATATAGATGTATTTTATAATAATAGCTAACATGTATATAGTGCTATGAGGTTTATAAAGTGCTTCATTTACACACTATTTGTGATTTGCACAACAAATCTAAAATGTAAGTACTATTATTACCTCCATTTTACAAATGATGAGGAAACTGAAGCCCAGAGAGACTTGCCCAGGATCCCACAACTAATAAGTGTCAGACATGGAATTTGAACTCATTTTTCTCTTAACTTCAAGTTCACTTGTTTTTGTCATACACTAGACTACACTTTTTTTTTTAATGGAAAGGAAACTGCACGTTCTTCAGGCTCTACAACACATATTCTGTTTGTAAACTTGACTCACTAGGAGGAATGGGAGGTGAAAAGCTAGGGGGAGGGAGGAAGAGTCTTCTAGATGAACTCTCATATTTCACTTCTCTGTATAGTGTTTTGATCACAGACCCTTCTTTAAGGAATAGGACAAAGCTTGAGCATATTTGCGTATCTTCTTCACAAAACATGTTGTTGTGATTTTTAGTCATGTCCAGTTTTTTGTGACTCCCTTTGGGATTTTCTTGGCAAAGATACTGGAGTGATTTGCCATTTCCTTCTTCTGCTCATTTAACAGATAAGGAAACTGAGGCAGAGAGGTGACTTGCCTAAGGTCACAAAACTAGTAAATATCTAAGGTTGGATTTGAACTCTGGTCTTCCTGACTCCATGCATAGCACTTTATCCACTGTACCATCTAGCTGCCAAACATTTACCTGAACTTTTAATAGGTACATAGAATAATAGCTTTTGTTTCTTTGCCATTACTAGAAGATCACAAATCAGGTACCTGCTTATCCACTACGCTTTGACTATAGACTCTTGAACTGATTGAAATTGAGAATTTTCCAGAAAGGGTTATTTATATCTTAAAAACAGGTTTCTTCCATTGCCAAACTGTTTAAATGGGTCTAAAGCGCTTTTCGACCTAAAAGTCCTAGGTAAATGCTAACATATCCAAGCTTTCTGTAATAGTCTCTTAATTTTCTCAGCTTCTCTGTCTGTACCTCCCCATCATAATCCCAACCCCCAAAAGGTACAATGAAGCAGCATACTTTTTATAATCTATGTTTGCTCAGCTCATCCATTCACACTAAGGTATAAGTGATTCATAACAATATAAAATATTACCCAGGGATATCAAAGGCTTAAAATGACGATAAGAAGCTCTAAAGTGTAGAATTTTAGATCTCAACCATCTACTAGGGGCCAGAGTTTTCAAGGTATAGGGATGTCTGAACTCACATCTTATTTATTGTTATACATTCTTCCTATGAATCAAACTGACACTACTTGTAATATTCCAAACCCAAATCTTACTGAATTTTAGTATTTGCAAACCTGAGCATAGTGAGCCTTTCAGGTACCTTTTATTACTGATAAAAGTATAAATAATGGTAATTCTTTTAATTTATACAGCACTTTTCATCCAAAGATCTCTAGGTCATTCAACATTCTTTTAGTACAACGAAGTGAACTAGGATTAAAATAAAAATCACTCATTAAATCTCCTAGGTTCATTCTGAAACTTAAGAATCTTTCTATAGAATCCTTAATAGAAACTTGCTTTAAGTAGGACATTCTTAATGATTCAGTTCAGTTCAATTCAATTCAACAGATAATTATAAACCATCCATGCTCAGTACTGTGTTAAATGTTAGAGGACGGGTAGGGATTGGAGAAAAATAAGAGACTATTTTGTTGTCGTTCAGTCATTTTTCAGTGGTATTCAGTTCTTTGTGATCCCATTTGGGTTTTCTTGTCAAAGATAGGGGAGTGGTTTTCATTTTCCTTCTCCAGCTTATTTTATAGAGGAGAAACTGAGAGAAACAAAGTTAAGAGACTTACTCAGGATCACTGCTTATAAGTGCCTGAGGCCACATTTTAACTCATGAACATGAGTCTTCCTGATTCTGGCCCAGTGCTCTATGCACTGCACCACCTAGTTGCCCAAGGGAATATAAGGAAGTATAAAGCACAGCTCTGTCCTTAAAATAAATCTCAGCACTTCATGAGGATACAGATACTAATACACACACACACACACACACACACACACACACACACACACACACATTCATAGAGACCTTCCCTAAGGTTATTTTATAATTGTTGTGAAAGAGTATGTCAGTAGAGCAGAAGCTTTGGTAAGTCCTACTGAAGTAGAAAGGCTTCAGGTAGACCCATAACAAACATGACATGACCAGGGCTTTATTTTAATTTACTTTAAAGAGCACCAACATCCAAGAACCCATCCCTCTTCCTTCATCACAGTCTTCCATGCTTGGATTCTGTGAGAGATGGACCACCCACTCATGTATCCCTAATTTGACTGTCCTCTTTGCTATCTCTGCCTCCCCAACTGAATCTGGCCCTGTTGTTCAGTTGTTCAGTCGTGTCCATCTCTTTGTGACCCCACGGACCATATCAGCCCAATACTGTCCATGGGATTTTCTCGACAAAGATACTGGAGTGGTTTGCCATTTCCTTTTTCAATGGATTAAGGCAAACAGCGGTTAAGCGACTTGCTCAGGGTCACACAGCCATTAAGTGTCTGAGACTAGATTTGACTTCAGGTCTTCCTGACTCCAAGCCCAGGGCTGTTTTCTGTTGAGCCACCTAGCCGCCTCTAAATCTGGCTCAGATGTTAATAATAACAGCTAACATTTATATAGTGCTTACTGTGTGCCAGGCACTGTGCTAGGTAAAAAGTGTTTTACAATTATTATCTTATTTAAGCCTCACAACCCTAGGAAGTAGGTGCTATTATTATTCCCATTTAACAGTTGAGGAAACTGAGACAAACAGAGGTTAAGTGACTTGCCCAGGGTCACACAGCTAGTAAGTGTCTGAGAACAAATTTGACTTCAGGCCTTCCTGACTCCAGGCCCAACACTCTATCCACTGAGCCACCTAGCTGCATGTAGGTATTAGGATTCTTTAGTTATTTCTCTGGCTTTAAGTATGCTGTAATCCCAGCAATGGATTTCATGATTGTCACCCAAGGGCTGATGTAGCTAAGTATGGTGGAATAGGCTCATTCTAACAAGTCTGGCCTCGAGGTACCAAGTTTTTCCAGCCACAGCAACTTATAAAACCATCCATTAAAAGACAAAGGATCTTATGATCTATGCCAATGGAGAGAGTACCAGTTATTGTGACATTATGAAGCAAGGAAGTGACTTACAGAATCCCAGAGGTTTAATAGTGATCTTTTCAGTCAAGAAGTCAAATCAACAAGTATTTATTAAGTACCTACTGATGGGCACTGTGCTACTAGAACAAAGTCAAGAATGCTGCCTGTCAAGACCTTGTTTGCCTCCAATCCAGCTGTCTCTGTTTCTCTGCCTCTGTGTGTCTCTCTCTGTTTCTTTCTGTCGCTGTCTCTGCCTCTGTCTCTCTCTGACATTTCAGAGGATCAAAGGATCACAAATTTAGAGTTACCAGGGACCTAAGAGCTCATCAAATCCAACCTCTTCACTTTACAGGTGTGAGGAAAATAGGCCTAGAGAATAAGAAACCCTCTTGGGGTAACACAGTTACTGTCTGAAGCAGGATTCTGACCCAGGTCTTTGTAACTCCAAATCTAGTGTTCTATCCACTCCTTCCAGATCCCTATTCCAATTTTCCATGAGCAATGAATAGCATATGGTAAAGCTGTGTGGCACAGCCAACCTGGGCCTCGCGTCTCAGTTGAGATCTTCCTTTTTCTGAAGGCTTTTTGTTCCTCTGAATGCAGTGCGTGGCAGACACGGAGAACTGGCAGAGAGTGAACACGGAGATCCCTGTCAAATCTCCTCGTTTTGCCCTGTTTGATTTGGCTGAAGGGAAATCCTACCGTTTCCGAGTTCGATGCTCTAACTCAGCAGGAGTTGGTGAGCCCTCAGAGGCAACTGATGTTACTGTGGTTGGGGACAAACTTGGTAAGTACAAAGCCAAGTATGCATTTTATGACAACTTCGAGATAGCATTTGATTTTTTAAAAAATATATATTTTTTTATTTATTTCATTAAATATTTCCAAATTACATACAATTTTTTTAAGATTCATTTTTTAAAATTTTGAGTTCAGATCATTGATTTTAAGAGTCATTTGAGAAGATATTTCTAACTCACCAGAGGTAGTGATATTCACATATTTCTCATGAAATGAAATCCAAAATGATGCCTATCGCTGCATCAGACAAGTATTTCATTGTTTTGGCTTCTGAAATATAGACTTAATTTCAAACAATCAATAACCTATTTTTCCTTCTTCTCAGATATTCCCAAAGCCCCTGGCCGAATCATTCCCAGCAGGAATACTGATACTTCAGTGGTTGTTTCTTGGGAGGAATCAAAAGATGCTAAAGAGTTGGTTGGGTACTACATTGAGTCGAGCATTGTTGGATCTAATCAGTGGGAACCCTGCAACAATAACCCTGTGAAAGGCTCACGGTAACAGAAGAAAGGGTGTGGGGTGCTAGCAGACGCTAGTGATCATGCAGTAGAGTTCTGTCACTAAGTGAGAATGGGGAAAATAAATAAAACTGTTAAACTTATTAGGCATCTACAAAAATCCAAAGGGAAATAGAAAATATATTTAAAATATCATGAATTATTTATAAATGGACTATGGCTCCTTGAAATGTTGTAAACAATGCTTTTTTTACCCACAACGTCAAGTGCCTGATGACTCAATCAAAATTGTCTCTCTGTCTCTCTGTCTCTCTCTCTTCTAATCTGCCTTTTAAATTCTATTGCTTTATACAATAACCAATATATGTCTTTGGAACATTTGGTGCCAAATAATATAAATTATGCAGGATTACATATACAATTTGAACAGAAAAGGAAAGTAGTAATATTTTTAAGATTCTAAACATCAAAGCAATTAAAACCAGTGGAATAACATCTACTGGGATGGCATAACTTAGCTTTTTGTTAGTTGCTGTGCTGTGTAAATATTTTTTATTGTGACTTACAGAGGCAGTTGGTGTAGTGGAAAGAGAACAGCAATTTTTAGTCAGAAGAGAGCTTGTTCAAATCCTGCCTCTGACACTTTCTAGGTAGTTATTTAACGGCTGCGAGCCTCAGTTTACCCATATGTAGAATGAGGATGATGATACCTGAGGGACCTATTCACAGTACTATTCTGAGAATCATATGAGAAAATGTTTATAATAGACTACCATCAGCTATTATTACTGCATCTGTTTTACCAATGAACGATGCTTCCAGTTTCCTAGAGAAAACCATCAGAATTGTAGGTTCAGGGCTAAATTGAGATAGGCTTGAGAAATGTTTCATTCTCTCAGAGGGTCTACTTCTGTCTTGGACCAGCTTTGAGTAATGAGGGTGCCATCAGGGAGGGATAGATTAGTTCTTTTTCAGATCACTAGGCACTAGAGAATAGAAATAAATTGGGTTAAAAGACAAGAGTTGTTAACTAACACTTTTGCAGTGAATTCACTTTAGCCTGGATCAAAGGCATTATTTCCTCCTTATGTTTTTTTCATTCTCTTCTCCCAAACTTTGCTGCATCTGTGCTGAAATAACCATCCCAGGCAGTGCCTTTTTGGGTGCATTCTATTCCTGGTCAGATTTTGACACATTGGCCTCTCAAGGGCTAGGCTCTAGGTTCTTGTAATAAATATTTTACAACTCTGATATTCTTAATAGTACTGATTGTTAGCAGACAGCTGTTATTTCCTCTGATTTGACAGCCCTTACCGATGGGATAGAATGTTATAGTGATTCATAGAATAACTATTTCTAGCCTAATGGAGTGGAAATGTGATAAATGTGAAGCTACCCAAGGACTTTGTAGCTCATTACTGACTCCTTTATCTAAATGTCACAGAAAGTGATAGTGTGAAGTCAAAGTTACAATTCTGAAATCCATTTTTTGGTCATCTTATTTTCACTTCTTGGTGGAGCTTCCCTTGTTATTCTACCTTAGTTGAGACAGTGTCAGCACAAGAGATGTTTCTCTAAAGTAGAACTTGTCATTTTGGAATTCATTTTCTAAAATCATATTTTCAATCCTTAGTGTAACTTCCCTGGTTATTGGACTTCACATGTAGATACTGTACCTTAGTGTTATGAACAAACAGCTGCTATCTTCTGTTGGTTTCTTTGTTTTTGAATGGGTCAGGATACTAATAATAATAATAACTAACATTTCTATAATACATACTATATGCTAGGCACTGTTGTGATCCTTACAACAACCCCCAGCTTAAGGGCTATTGTTATTGCCATTTTGCAGATGGGGAAAGAGAAGCAAACAGAGATTAAATGATTTGCCTAGGGTCACATGGCTAGTTAAGTGTCTAAGGGCAGATTCTGAACTCAGGTCTTCTTGATGCTGGACCCAGTGCTCTATTCACTGTGCCACCTAGTGCCTTCATTTTCTCCGTATCTCAAACGCAAACATAACCTGGTTAAAAAAATAACACTTTTCCCAAGATCAGAAGCATTAAGCTAGATTAGGAACCCATCTAATTCAGCTTTTTTTCTCCATCAGTTTCTTAGAGGAAAAAAAAAAAAAAATCCCTCTTTTTTGTTGCTTCTTCTTTTAGGTTTATCTGCCATGGACTTCTTAATGGTCAGAATTATATATTTCGAGTCAGAGCTGTGAATGCCGCTGGACTTAGTGAATATTCACAGGTTTCAGAAGCAATTGAAGTGAAAGCTGCTATTGGTAGGTCTTCTATCCATGTTTAAGTCAGTAGAAAAAATGAATTTCAGTATTTCTAATGAATAAAGTAAGGTGTTTTTTTTCCCCTTCCAGAAATGATGTTTTAATCTTGTTATATAGCCTAATGGTACCATCCCTCAGAGGATCCTTTGTTCTAGGTGACTTCTAACACTTCATTGCTGTCATTAAGCAGACATTCCATCACTTATCCAGTTTCTATGTACCTGTAGCCTTTTCATCTTGACAAGTCCAAGCTTCCCCAAGATGTTTCTCATGAATCCTTGTGTGAAACTCCATTCTAACTTCATGCTCATCCTGGGAACTGTGGAGGGCCAGTCAAACTCCATGACATGGTATATCATCCATAATGCACATCACCTTGCTGCCTAAAAAAAATCACTTCATCATCACAAGATCCTGGTCTGTTTCCATCCCTTATCCTACTACTATCATCATACATCTTGTTCCATGCTACTCATCTTACATACTGTTATCTCCACTAACTCCTCTAAAACTCCACGCATGTCATATAAAGCTACTGGCTCATTCCTGTTTCATCTCCATCTGTATTTCTAGTCTAAAGCAACTAAAATACCTGTTTACTGACACTCATAGTATGCTTTCTTCATTCTAATCCTATTGGAATGTACCTCCAATCTTATATATATTTTTATAAAGGTGAAAGGAATATAAAATGGATATTATGGTGCTATACCAAAATATTTATGCTTATTGGTTATTGATATATTAGCTAGTATGTTATTAATAATGTCTACATTTCTAAAGCATTTGAAGGTTTGAAAAATACTATACGTGTTGTCTCATTTAACCTCATAAGGCCACACAGCTAGTAAGTGTCTCAGTCAGGATTTAAACACGGTTCTTTTTGACTCTAACTCCTGTGCTCTCTATCCACTATACCACCTAGCTAAGCATTAAATATTTGGAATATTATTTAATTATCATGGACAGCATGGTATAGCTTTTAAAGATCTGGCCTCTGATGTTCTGACATACTTATTATGTGACCCTGGGCAATTCATTGAATGTCTCAGTGCTACAGACAAATCTCAAAGACTTGAAGTTGCTGAGAGAGTGACAGCCATATTGGTAGAGAGAATTTCCTCTTCTGGGAGTTCCCTATGTCAATGAAATGACAGGTTCAGTCCCTATCTCCTATTTAATATCAGTTACCTTTGGTGAGCTCCCAAGACTGCATTCTTTAGATCCCATTAAGAATGGGAGGTACACCCAAGTGCTCTTCTTTGTCATACATGTGAATTCTAACATCCATAAAACAGTTCTGCTTGTGCTCTGTCTCTTATGTTCTTGATGTTCATTTCTTCATCCTGTTGAATAATAGAGAAAGTTCAATGTTTTCTTGCGTGTAATGTATGAGACATGTTTTGCATATTTTAAAAAGCACTTTGTTTTTTGGAAAATCAAAATTGTTCATGTTCTGTCTGTGGTTCTCTCTGTATTTCTTCATTTGCTTGGTTAATAGAGATGCTAGAATATTCTTTGGTGTACAGTGTGTGAGACGTATGGCATTCATATCTCTTGCCAGCCCAAATGTATTCTGATTGCTGTAACAGTGAGATTACTCTTGTTCTGTCTCTTGCTGTTATTAATGCTCTTCTTTTTCGGTCTGTTACAGAATGACAGATCCATAACCTTTTCTGGTTCAAAGTGTTTTCTGTTGTTTTCTGGCACTTGTAGGGGGAGGAGTGTCTCAAGGTGTGTGGCCTGCACTGAATGATAAAGCTGACGGACTAACCGACTCCAAGGGAGGCATGCATGAAGCCTCCCGGCCAACCTTTAAGAAAGCTGCTTTGCTTGATAGCGGTGATACATTTAACCAATACCCACCACCCAGTAGCTCTGATAGCCTGGACAAAACAGAAGTCAGTAAAGTAAGTGAAAAAGTTCAGGATGATCAGGCACCTGCTCCAGCCTCGAAGAAGGGAGCTGCTAAGGGGAAACCAGAAGTAAAAGAAGTAAGTGAAACAGTTCAGGAGGATCATATGCCATCAGCAGAACCTGAGAAAGCGGCTGACCAGGAGGAAAGTAAGTCTGATCCTGCAGCCCCTGCAACTTTGGAAAAAGGGAAAAAGAAGAAGGCCGTAGGTGAGAGCCCATAAAGTCAAGCCATTCCACCAGTCTCCATCCATCAGTGGTCTCCATCAGTTTATTCATCTCACTGTTCGAGCCATAATCATGTGTCATTTTCATCGATGTTTAATTTCTTCTTCCAGGCTGATGGTTATCTATCTTTTGGTCTCCATATAGAGCACATTTATGCATGGGCCAGAAAAGCCATTTCATACATTTCCTTCACCTGTACCTTATGCATTACATTTATTAACAGTAAACATTTAATATCATTGGGTAATGAGGTCAACATAAATTCTTTGTCCAATATTTGGTGGTTTTGAAACATCTTTGGTAACTTTATTTGTATTAGGAGTCACTCAATAAGCACTTATTAAATATCTCCTATCTGTCAATCACTATGCTGGGCACTAGAGTACAAAGAGACAAAATCAAAACAGTCTCTGCCCTCAAGAACCTTGTATTCTATGGGATCATTAATGGAAATTACTTCACTGTCATTCATGGCCCACATGGGGCTCTTACATAACATTTCTATTAATTGTATAAGAGAAAGCTTTCACAAAGGAATAATTACATAAGATTAAGTTTTCCTGTCATCCTAGGTATTAATTGTCTTTTGATGACTGATGCTCATACTTCAGCTAAAAGTCAGTCATGTTGTTATATCATGTCAAAGATGTGATATGACATTTTCCAGTATTAAACTTGGAAGAGTAAGCTGAAAATCTGGAAAGCTACTGAGAAAGAAGGGTTACATGAGATGATTTTCCCATTTAATTTATGTGTTTTCCCTTTATATGATAGTCTACTTTTTAGCAATTGAAATCCCAGTGCTATAATAGTTGGTTATTATCCTACTGGTTTGTTTATAGTACTTGGGAGAAAGTGGAAATTTCAATAGTATGTGGTGTTTAGCTAGGCAAAAGTTACCCAGAATACCAAAAGCTTTATCCAAATGGACCTACTCCTCTACCTTCTCTACTATAGAATTTTGGTGGATTTGTGATGTCTCCAGTGAGGACACACTTTCCACTGATGCAGGTCACAACCCTTCCACGCTATCTCATCTTGTGTAGTTCTTATTCATGTCTTTCCAGAAGTCCCCCATACAGGATCCATCCACTTCTACTCAATGGAGGCCTCTCCTTTGTTCTTTGAATACTCGAGGAGGTGCCAATGTATTCAGTTGTTTCAGTAGGGTGTCAGCTTGTGGGATACTGGACAGCGATCACACGTTAAGAGTACCCATAGTTAGATAAATCTTTATAAACAGTAGATGAACTGTGTAGTGTTAAAGACCTTCTATCCCATTCTCTGCTACTTTACCATCGTCGCTGCAGAAGTGGAAGGGGGCACATCATGGAGGAATGAGGATCATTCGGTGCTCTTGTTAATTTCATGGGTTATGGTAGCCAAACAGAAAATTCAACATCACTATGTTACTCGTGGCGTTCCTCTGCGTACTTAGATGGGCTGGTCTTTGGATTGTAGATGCTAGATGTATGTTGAAAACTTTTCCCATCTTGTAGAATCTGAAAGAACTTGGGCTTTGCTGCTACAGCCTTCTAGAATTCAGAATAAGACTTTTGTGGGGGGTGCTTTCCATAGTCCTTTTAAATATAAGGAAAATTCTCCTTCATATCTAGATGATTTTTCCTCAAGTACTATCATTTAAAATTACATTTTCGTTGACTGATAAGTTAATGGAAAAGGGCACTCTGAATCAGGGAAGACTTAAAATACCCTCTGAATTTTATTCAGGTTTAATATTAAGTATGTTCAAGCAGCTGAATAATATCATGGGAACTATTTAAAAATGATTCCACCACTATGATAGAGAGACTATAATCACTAGTGTTCTTATAGCATTTTAAGGCTTGCAAAAGCACTTTATAAGTATTAACTCATGTTGTTCCTCACAGCAACCCTGAGAGGTAGGTGCTATTATTATCTCCATTTTATAATTGAGGAAACTGAGGCACACAGAGGTTAAGTGACTTGTCCAGGGTCACACAGATAGTAAGTATACAAGGCCAGATTTGAATTCAGGGCTTCCTGACTATAGGTCCAGCCCTCTCTATCCACTGCACAACCTAGCTGCCTTTATAAGAAACATTACATGCCACGAAGAAATTACAGTGATTATATTTGTTTTAAAATGTTGCTTCCCATGAAGAGGGGGAAACCTTATTGATGAGGGTTTAATAAGCTCTAGTATCAGCTGTCCTTTACTTGCAGACAGATCACCATGGTGATGTCTACCTTTCATAAAGGTAAGTATGATGGAACAGTGAAATAATATGCATTTGGAAATACATGAACACCAAAATAAGCAACTAGAGGTGAAAGGTGGTGTTTATCTCCTATTCTTGTTTGATTTCTAACAAAGATGAAAACAGACAAAAAATGATGAGCCTAAGGGTGAAGAATTGAGCAATTTTTCAGAATGCTTTGTTGTTTTGCCCCTACTGTTCCTAGCCTGTTTTCACTATCCAGAGAAGAGAAAAATTAGTGATTTTCTGTTTTGAGAACTAATTACAACACCTGTTTTCTATTGTGTCAGCTTGATTTCTGGAAACTAAACCAAACAAAAATGACTTTTTTATGTATCACATTTTACATTTCATATTACCGGCTTGATTGTCTTTATGAACAGCACCAATTAAATAAATACAATATCCATAGACCAATAAACTGATTTCTGTCTACTTATATGGCATCATCTTGCAACAGCTACTCCATCTCCACCCTATGACATCACTTGTCTTGAGAGTTTCCGTGACTCAATGGTTCTTGGATGGAAGCAACCAGATAAGACCGGTGGAGCTGAAATTACTGGCTATTATGTGAACTATCGTGAGGTTATTGGTGGAGTACCTGGGAAATGGAAGGAGGCCAACATTAAGGCCATCAGTGACCAGGCATACAAGGTAAGAAGGGCAATCTCACATTATCTTACTTGGAGTTAGTCATAAGAATTACCCAATATTCTAATGATCCAGTACCTTTCCTAACCTTGGATTATTGCCCAGGAATTGTATTGTAGTATGACTGGAAGGAATGGTGTGGAATGCACCAAATTTAATAGAGGTGGCTTGGAAATTCAGGAATTGCTTTTGTTTTCCGACTTCCTCTTATATACTTATACATAAAATGCTACATTAATTAAACCATCCATTGTGAATTATATGTATAAGGTACAAATTAATATCTGCTTGCTGGTTCTCAAAATATTAATGGGAATCCCTATTCACATGGAACTCTAGTCTCTCCCAGTTTTCTAAGGGTACTAGCTATAAACTTTCTTGGGTAAAGAGGAAAGAAGAGCTTTTCTCTTCCTCTTCCTTTGAGATTCTCTTCTCTGGGAGAAAACTGGAGAGTGTTTGCAAGGAAACTAGCATGGTGAAGGTTCTAGAGTCCATGCCATATAAGGATTACTTGAAGGAACCGGGGAAGTTTATCCCTTGAGAAGACTCAGGGGTTGTGATAACTGCTTTAAATATTTGTAAGACAAATTTAGACTTGATATAAGGTAAAACTTCCCAACAACTAGTGCTGTTAAAAAGTAGAATGAGTTGCCTTAGGAAGTCATGGTTTACTTCTCTCCTGATGTTTTCAAACACAGTCTAACTGACAAGTATTTTGTATTAGAGATAGAGATTTTGGGCTACGCACTAGGCTACTTGGTTGCTGAAATCCCTCCCAACCCTAGAATTCTGTGATTCTGTGAAAAACTAAGATGTATGTCCCTGCCATGAAAGGAATCTTACTGTTCTTAATTTTATTTATTTTTTAAAGTTTCATTCATACATTGGTTTCTCATGCCACAGTCATTTCCTGATCTCTCCTCCCTTTCCCATTCAACTCTCCCACTAAGAAATAAAAACAGGTAAACCAAATCAACCAACCCAGTACCTCTACTTTTAGTTGAGCATGGCTGTGCCCTTCCCCAGAGGGCTAGGTTGCTGATTATGGAAACTGAGTCATCATCTGGAGCCACTTTAGCTGTCTCTTCCTTCTTAAGTCATTGGTTCTTGGTGAATTATGTGTGCAGGGAAATGAACAGATGGAATAATGTCGTACCAGGTCACTTTGTCTCTATAGGATGAGGAGAATGTTTCCTGTACTTCAGAGGGAAGATCATTGCTTTCTTTTGAGAGAAGATACTTCTTTCAGATATTTAGAAAATATTTTTACAATTTGGTTCTAGTATTATATTCTAGCAGCCTGAGTGAATATATCTTGTCTCAAGTAAGCAATTTACTGCCTTCATTTTGCTGTTTCCCTTCTCCCCTCCGCCCATATGTGTTTTGAGGCCTGAAGAATAAAGGCTGCAATCAACCAAAGTTGTTTAGTAACATCCTTCCATACCAGAACATACCAGGACACAGGATTTCATCAGTTCTATGCCTTTGTGTTTCTCCACATATATTTAAAGTTCAATCATCATGACTGACCAGTATAATGTTTCTCATATTACTCATTATTCAAATGAGGACAGCATTTAGAGTCAGAGGACTTGAGTTTGAATAATGGCTCTGATGCTTACTATTCTGTGACCTTAAGCTCTCTGGACCTCAATTTCCTCATCTGTAAAATAAGGGGATTGAATTTGATGTCTTCTAAGGCCTCTTCAGCTCTAAATCTATGATCCTCTGATCCAGTGAACTGGGAATGTTTGCCTTTGGCTATTTGAGTAGGTCGACAGGGTGAGAATCATAATGTTGAGCACGTTATCATTAAAGAGTACCTTGAAGATGACTGAGTCCAGCTCCTTCATTTTACAGATGAGAAAACTGAGATTCTCTCTATTTAATTTAGAATACAGTATCCCTTATTTCTTACTTACAAGCCACTTCCTACACAAGATACACTTATTGCTTTCCAGGGTATTTGAATCTAATGAGGACTGAAATCATAGATGTGCATTTATTGCTTCCAGGCATATCATAAGCAGCTGGACCTTTTAAACTTAAGTATTTCCTTCAATATCATCAGAAATACTTAAGTGTGTTCCATTTATTAACCATTTATTTTATGTCCAAGGTAACTAATGTTACATGGCTTTTCTGATAAATGACATATTTATAGCACTTTTCTTTCCAAAGTGCCTTCTCAAAATTATCTCGTGTTCTTAACGACCCTAGAGATTCTGGCCTGGGCCTTCTGTATCTTACTTTAGCATTCTTTCCATTTTTAAGGCACCTAGGCAACTCTAAGGATAGAATTCTGGGCTAGAGTCAGGAACACCTGAGTTCCAACCCAACCTCAGACACTTACTAACTGTGTGACCCTGGGCAAGTTGCTTCACCTCTGTCTACCTCAGTTTCCTCATCTGTAAGGTAGGGATTATAATAGCACCTACCTTATATGGTTATTTTGAGGATCAGATGAGATATGAGTAAATTGCTTAGCATAGTGCCTGGCACATAGTAAGTGCTATGTAAATGTTAGCTCATTATTATTACTCTTAGGTAAGAATCAAGTAATAAGAAGCAGCCTGATATCATCATCATCATAACTCATATTTACCCTTTAGCCCTTAAAGGCTGGCAAAGCCCTTTACCCACATTATCTCATTTGTTCCTCACAACAACCTTGTGAGCACATTATCTCTTTTGTGAGGTAAGTACTCTTATTACTCCCATTTTACAGTTGAGGGAACTGAGGCTCAGAGAAATTAAGTGGTTTGCCTAGATTACACAGTTTATTATCACAATAGTCAAATGAAAGTTTTAAACCACAAAAACTTGAGGTCTATCATTTTCTTATTCTTGCAGATAAGCAACTTGAAAGAAAACGTGGTCTATCAGTTCCAAGTGGCTGCGGTGAACATTGCTGGGGTGGGGACTCCCTCTAAAGCTAGTGCATCCTTTAAATGTGAGGAATGGACCATTGCTGTTCCAGGTAAAAAAAATATTTAAGATTCATTACATGATTAGCTTCTTCTATAAATGCATGTAATCTGGTAGCCAGGAGTGCATCTGTAGCCTGGCTCAATGTTTCATCATTAATTTAAGCAGAGTAAATAAAAGGGTACAAAAGAAACTCAAGGTGAAACCAACTTCCATCCATAAACACCCAGCAAGCAAGAGAACATGCTCACCTTTCTTTACCGGTAACTTTCTATATCTTCAGTTGCTAGTTCTGAAGCTGCCTCCTGGTATGACTTTCAGTGGAAGGTGCTCTTGTGCATAGAAATGACCTTCAACTTAGGAATTTGTTGGCTAATTACACAACAGTGAGTCTGTCACCAAGTACTTCAATTCCCTGAAGAGAGCCAAAGAATGGGGTGGACCAGGAAAATCCTAGAACTCTCATATGGGCAAAGAGGTAGAGAGAGTAGGTGAAGGAGGCAGTAGGGCAAATGCTGTAACACAGGGGAGAAAGAAAATTCCCCTGCTCCCTCCTATCCCTTCTTGACTTGGTTCAACATGACATAGTCATAGAGAACAGATTCTCATCTTTGGAAGGCACCTCAGAGATCATCCAATGCAACTTCTCATTTTATTGATTAAGACACTTAAAGAGACATGACTTGACCAAAGTCATAGGATTACTTAGATACAGGCGCTAGCCTAGAACCCAAGTCTTCTGAGTCCGCAGCTGGTGTTTTTCTCCAATACCACATTACCACTTCAACTTTCTGTTTCTTCGTTGGTCATAAAGATAGAGGACAGAGGCAATAACCTCAGGAATGAGGTGCTCTGTGTGTGTGTGTGTGTGTGTGTGTGTGTGTGTGTGTGTGTGCAAGGATGATTCATGTTTGTAATTGTTAAGATCAGAGAAATATTGGAGACAGCATAATGCGGAAATCCTATTGGACTTTGACTCAGAAGTCATGAGTCTGAGTCCAGGCTCTGACATTGATTAACCATGTGACTCAGGGCCAATTACATCACTGTTCTGACCCTGTGTTTCTTCATTTGAAAAGACCACAATGATAATACTGGCACTATCTTTCTCATCAGGTGGTTGTTAGAAATGTGCTTTATAAACCATAAAAGGCTCTGGCAACAATTGAGAAACACCATGGCCTAGCATGATTGACTTTTTGTTTGCAATTCTCTTCAAGGCTAATACACATCATTGTAGGCTGATTTGATTAGTGAAAGAGAAATAATTTGCTAATGATGTCAAAATGATACTGAGAACAAGGATTTAAGGTTTACAGAGCACTTTTCTTAAAACAAAAAATTGGAGAAGATGGGTAAATATTAACTGGTGAGGAAACATGGCACATGGTAAACACTTAATGAACAGTTATTGAATTTGAATGGAGTTGAATTAAGTGACTTGTTTAGGGTCTTAGAGCTAGTGAATATCAGAGCCAGGATTAGCATCTGGGTTCCTGATTCACAGGATCATGGATTTGGAGTTGGAAGGTATATCAAGAGGTGACCCAGCATTCTACCCAGCACTCTTATTTTATACCTGAGGAAACTGAGAACAACAGGAGTCAAGCACTAGGATTTGAATCCAGGTCCTCTCATCTCCCATCTAGGATGTAGTCAGAACAAGCATATTAAATACATGGATCCAAAAGTCTACCATGGACAGATGAGCAAATGCCCAGTTAGTGATGTTCTTCTGAGGAGCATGCCTTGCTGTGGCCTTTTGAAGGAACTACACTCACCAGGACAGAGCTTGAGGGTCAATTTTTGCCATTGTGTAAAGATATAAATACTTATAAAGTCACATTTCCCATTTTAAACTACCACACTTCATGGGTCTGTCAAGGCAGTTGTTTTCTTATTATCTGAGATTTGAGGGAAGTTTCAACTTGCATTTAAGACATGATTAGCCAGTAAAACTAAATCAGATTTTTCTGGCAAGAGATAGACCAGCCAAGGAACCAAAAATTAGCCCAAAGACAGCACTTAACGTAAGCTCCACCATGTCGACTTGAGCAAGAGACAGCTTCCTGGTGCCCTAGTTTCGTGGCCTCAGTGAAGGGAGGCTTAATAATTCATGTCAGGTTTGTCAGGAAGAGACCTCAAAATGAGCATGATATGCTTAGAAATATGAATTTTTCCTGTGACTGCTACAGCTTTAAGCACGTTGTTTTAAGATTGTGTACATATTTAATCTTCTCTGTACTCATAGCGTTTATTTCTTGGTTTCTCTAGGACCACCTCAGGATCTGAAGTATAGTGAAGTCAGGAAAACCTCCCTGGTTCTCCACTGGAAGCACCCAGTGCATTCTGGTCGCACTCCTGTCACTGGTTTCTTTGTTGACATCAAAGAGACAAAGGCTAAAGACGATCAATGGCGAGGGATCAATGAGAAGCCAATAACAAATGCATACTTGAAGGTATAAGCATTACTACTTTTTAATTTTCTTTTGTTTTATTTTTTTTACCTCTTTTTTAGGGTATCTAAAATGTTAAAAAGCTCTGATGATGATATTAATTTTTTTTCCTTTTTTTTTTTTTGGTTGTGCAGTGGGGGTTAAGTGACTTGCCTAGGGTCACACAGCTAGAAAGTGTTATGCGTCTGAGGTCGTATTTGAACTCAGGTCCTCCTGAATCCAGGGTTGGTTCTCTATCCGCTGCACCACCTAGTGCCCCCAATGATATTAATTGTGAATGAAATGTAATTTCATTTAAAAGGATAAGTAAATGCAAACAAACCCTTTATATTAATAGGGGTTCTCAGAAAGGACTTTTCGAGTTTTACCATATAGCTTTTCCCCAAGGAGAGAATATTGTGACAGCACTATTTGGGGGAAAAATTTGTGAATACTCCCTATTGCCTCTTCTGCCTGGCCTTTAAAGCCATCTAGATATTCACCTCCTCTCAAAGCCCTGAAGGGTGGGACACAGGACAAGTAAGTGTTTATGGGGGTGAATAAGAAAAATCAGGAAAAATCTAGAGTAGGAGCGGTTGTCATAGGTACCAAGGAGGACACTGAGACCGTAATCTTTGAAAACCTTATATGAGAGGAGAAAGAGGAAGAGTAAAAGGCAAAGGAGGATGATAATGGCAAAAGACTGATAGAATCCCAAAGGCAAACTTTGCCTGATTCACAATTATGCCTAGGGTCAACCCTGATTAATTTCATTTAATATTTAGTTCTTCATCAGTTAGTTATTCCTTTGCATTGAATACTGCAGGGCCTTTTTTTTCTTGCTGAATTTTAGTTTATTGGGTCATCCCCTTTTGTGAATATTTTATCACTAAATTTTAGTCCATTAGAATGTAAGCTCCTTGATGGCAGGAACTATTTTTTTTTCCTTTTTGGGGGAAAAGAAACTTTTTGGCATAGTCCCTGGCACCTAGAAAGTGCTTTATAATTGCTTGTTTCTTGATCAGTTGGTTGATTGGTAGTGGTAATATGGGAAAGTGATGATAATGCTCCAATACTAGTGAACTCTAGCCAATGCTTTATCAGAGAATAATTGTCTCCTTGAGTCTACTTCTAGAGCTACAAACAGCAGCAATCTCTTTAAGAGTGTTGGTTAAGAATAGTTAAGGAATGCTGGCTACCGGTTAACTCTGCCATTTATTTTCAACAAACAGAGTTTAACCAAGAATCATTTAAGCTTCTCAAATGCCCTTGCCAAGCAACCAGAGGTTTAGAAATACTGTTATTAAATACTGCTGCCTAATAGGAGAAACGTTTCTTAAGAAGAAAAGTGAATGCTTTGTAAACAGTTATGGAGGAGAAATATCCAAAAGGGGAAAATAAATATTTCTAGAACTGTTAAACGGAGTAGTTATTGACATGCTGTTGACCTTCAACGTAAGAGGGTGTGTCTGTTATTCCATGACTAAATGCAAGGCTGTATGTATTTATATGTATGTATACTTCATGGGTCATGTTGTAAAAATCTGACTCCAAGAGGTGCATCAACCACAAATTACTCAGGTGTCAGGCACAGATGCATCAGGTGATTTTAAGTCTGTTTTTCTCAAACAAGGAAATCTTTCAGGTCTTTTTTGGTTTGTTATGCACTGTGTGAAGTAAATCTATAGCTCGCTGGCATTTCTTCTAAATAGAGAATTAAATCTCTATGGCATTTTTACTGACTTATATAACGCTACCAAAATGCAGGTTCAATGGTGGGCTAAAACCCGTTCTAACCTGATTCAGTTTATACCACATAATGAACATTTTAAGTTAGAATTTAAATTGTAATTTTATTTTAAAAACTTTTAAGTGTGTGGCTAATGGTAGTCTTCACTTAAGCAAATGGACACTTTAAAGAATATTTTCTTTAAAACAAATTCCTTATAAATAATTCTATTTTTTCCTATTGATTTCTATGATATGGAAATGGGGTATCCAAGTAGTGGAGTAGATGGAGCACTGAGCCTGGAATCAGGAAGATCTAAGTTCAAATCCAGCCAGAGATATTTACTAGTTGTGTGTCCCTGGGCAAGTCACTTGACCCTTTTGGTCCCAGTTTCTTCAACTATAAAATGGTGATAGTAAAAGCACCTACCTAGCAGGGTTGTTGTGATGATAAAACAAGATAATATTTGCAAAAGTGCTTAAGATAGTGCCTGGCACATAGTAGGAGCTACATAAAATACTTAGTTCCTGACTACCTACCTCAGAGTGCTGTACTTTATAAACCTTAAAACACCATATAAATATATGAATTTTTATATCATTAAGTACCCTAAGCATGAATGTACAATGCTTTTTCCTTATCTTTGTTGTTCAGTAGTGTCCAACTCTTTGTGATCCCATTTGGGATTTTCTCGGCAAAGATAACTGGGCTGGTTTGCCATTTTGAGGAACTGAGGCAAAGAGGATTAAGTGACTTAGCTAGGATCATACAGCTAGTACATGTCTGAGGCTGGATTTGAACTTAGCACAATTTTTAACATTCAATTTTTTTTAAAGTGAGTTCTAGATTTTCTCTCTTCCTTACCTCCTCTTTCCCTTAGACAGTAAGCAATTTGATATAGGTTATACAACCCTCATGTATTTTCAGTCTCTCACTCTAGCTCCTTAACATCTGCTCACAAACATGATCTAGTCTCCTCAGTCTCAAAGACCTTGACCTCAGCTACCCAACAGCTCATAATTCTCCTCTTTATTAAGTTATTTGAACAATTTATCTGTGTCCACTTCCTCATCCACCCAATTGCCCTCTCAAGCCCTTGCAAACTGTCTTCTGAAACTACTACCGCTCTATTGAAATTGCCTTCTTAGAGGTCACCAATGACCACCTAATCATCCACTTCAAAGATCCTTTTTAGTCTTCAACCTTTCCACAACATTTATCATGCATTCACGCCCTTCTGTCTTCTCTCGGTGTCAGAGACACCACAATCTCTTGGGCAGCTTGGGAACAGGGGGTGGGGGAGCACGGTAGGTAAAGTGTAGGACCTGGAGTCAGAAGATTTTAATTAAAATCCAGCCTCACCCTCTTACTAGCTATATGACCCTGGGTAAGTAACTTAGCCTCTCCACCTCAATTATTTCATCTGTAAAATGGAAATGATAATAGCAGTACCTATAATACAGGGTTGTCGTTTGTACCAAATGAGATGATATATTACCTTAAAGTGCTTTATTTGTTATTGTTGAGTCATTTTTCAGTCGTGTCCGATTCTTTGTGACCCTGTTTTGGAGTTTTCTTGGCAGAGATACTAGAGTGGTTTGCCATTTCTTTCTCCAGCTCATTTTACAGATTAAGAACTGAGGCAAACAGTGTTAAGTGACTTGCCCAGGGTCACACAGCTAGTAACTGGCTGAGGCCGGATTTGAACTTAGATCTTCCTGACTCCAGGCCCAGTAATCTATGTATTGCACTGCCTCATTGCACCCAGGGGAGTGGACTTCTTAGGTTGCTTCCAGCTGTATATTTATGATCCTGGATGTCTCACTGTCAACTCAAACCTAACATATCATATCCCAAACCAGGCTCATCATCTCCCTTCCTCTAAAAATCTGCCCTTCTACCCAACATCAAATTTATTTCTGTGGCACCATCATTCATGCAGTTGAAACATTTGGCATTCTTGCACTTCCATATTTAAGCAGGTCCCATTGATTTTGACATCATTCTCTCACAATTCCGCTTACCCCCGTGGCTCTCATTGCCACCACCCATGGCCCCTCTTAACCTCCACCTAGATTAGTGCAGTAGTCTCCAGTGAATCTTCCTCTCTTCTTCCCTCCTCTAATCCACCCTTCTTCATGCTGCTGCCTGAATAATCCTCCTTGTGGATTAAAAGAGGGGAATTTGTATTAGTTTTGAAGGATCAATATGAAAGCATTTGTTTTTAATTCAACAATTTGTAAAACAATGGAAAGATTAAATACTTACATTTTAAATTCTCCCTTGCTGGCTGAGAATAGTTTACAAATGAATCACATAATATTTCAAAAGTAGGAAGAAAACCCAGTATCAATGCCGCTCTAACCACATGGTACCTTGGCTTCATGACTCAGGAAGAAGGAAGCAGACATTTGTCCATCATCGCTGCCACTGCTCCTTGATTAACAAGGAAGCAAGAAGCAACGTGGTACAGTGGATACAGCATTGCCCTGAAGTCAGGGAATCTGAGTTCTAATCACAGCTCTGTGACATTACTTATGTGACTTTGTTCAATCACAATAGCTTGCATTTATATAGTACTTTAAGGTTTGCAATACGCTTTACAAATATTATCTCATTTTATCTTCACGACAAACCTAGGAGATAGGTGCTATTGTCTGCATTTTACAAATGAGGAAACTCAGGCTGAGAAAGGTTAAATGACTTGCCTAAGGTCACACAACTAGAAACTATGTCCAGATTTGAACTTAGACTTTCCTGACTCCAAGTTCAGTTCTCTACATCTATGATCTCAAGTGTGTGTTGGGGTGGGGGTGGGGGAGAATGAAGGGAGTGGGGCTTTAGTAGTCTGCTACTAGACAGTAAGAGGACCTATCAATAGTCAAATGACTTTGAATCACTACTAGGGATGGAGAAAAGGTTATTTAAAATGGCATGAAATTTTATATTGTTTCTCTTCTTGCTTTTTTCCAGGTCAAAAACCTCAAGGAAGGTGTCAGTTATGTATTCCGTGTCCGAGCCTTAAACCAGGCAGGTGTCGGGAAACCTTCTGATATTGCTGGTCCCGTTGTGGCAGAAACCCGTCCAGGTTTGCTACCTGCTCTTTCTGTTTTTCCAATTTTAAGAAAGCCATGTTTGCATGAGATAATTGGGAACTTAAAACTTACTGTGCTCTCCATAATGACTATTAGTTGCATGAATGCTGATTGAAGAATTAACAAGTCTGCTTGTAAGTCAGTAAATGCATGAACACAGTTCTGCCCAGGGCAGGTGCAAACCAGGCTTGGGAGGCTCTGTCCCAAGCCCCAGTGCTGGGTTTGTATCTCCCTGAAGGAAAGTCTGGGGTCCTTTTAGGGTCCCTGGAGCAGCTGTTGTCATCACAGAAGGTTCTATGCTCCAACTGGTCACAAAGGCACACAAAATTCCTGCCCAATCACAGGACAAACTGACTGCCCAAATAGCCTGCCCAGTCCATACAGAAAAGCTGGGTTTAAGTACTTGCAGCTGCTGAGTTTTCCAAACAGCTGCTCTCAATGAACGACCTAGGAGCTGAGGCAATACTCATTCTCTAGGTCATTGTAATGCCTTGGAGAGTCTGGAGAGACATTATCTCCCTTTTTGGGTATTCTGTGAAAGCAACAGATTTGTTGTAGTGCACATATGGTCAGTTTCTGCCAGATAAATGCTTGACAATTAGAAGGGTGTTTTCTTGCCATTTGAAGCTGTTCAGGACTTGAAAACATCAAGCTTTTCTTTTTCTTCTAAATAGTATATAATCATGGTTTGTATTTCATTCTTGTTTTATTTGGCTATCATTTTTTTAGACTGAATATTGTAGAGTAAAAAACACAATCCTAAGTAGTCCCTCCCAAACTAGACATTTTTGGAAGAATAGTAGATATTGTTCGCCATCCTAACAGTATAAAATAAAATTATAGAAAAAAACCACCACCACAAAACAAGACAATCAGCATTCAGGTAATTGCATTAAACCTATGTGTACTTTAAACCATGGTACAAGTCTGGGACAGCTAGGTGGTGCAGTGGGTACCTAGCGTCAGGAAAATTCATCTTTCGGAGTTTAAATCTGGCTTCAGACACTTATTAGCTACATGACCCTGAGCAAGTCTCTTAACCCTGTTTGCCTCAATTTCCTCATCTGTAAAATGAGCTGGAGAAGGAAATGGCAAACCACTACAGCATCTTTGCCAAGAACTGAAAAATGACTGAACACAAGTTTATCAGTCCTTGAGATATAAACTCCAGAGCTTACATGCAATGTAATGCCTTTCTCAACAAGAGAGATAGAGACCAAGAGGTATTCTTTGAAATGAACTGTTTTATCAGTTAGGAACTGGACCTGTGATTTCACTGGTACTGTATATGGATTTTCCAGATAAGGAAGCTCCCTCCACCCCTGTAGGTTGGCACCTTCTCTACAACTTAGGAGAAGTGAACTCTTAGAAGTGAACTCTTAGAATTGCCTAGAGCAATGCTATAAAACTCAGACAGAAACAAGGCCACTAAATCTTACATAAAGATCCCTGCTGCCAATATACTAAGAAAACCACATGTTAACATTATCTATGTCTTACATTTATTTTGTTAAATGTTTCTCGGTTACATTTTAACCTGGTTCCTGCTATATTCTGGAGTGTTGGTAGGTATAGTGGGTTTGACACCTTTGGCCTAGAGCACTGTGAGGTTAAGGATTTGCCCAGGATTATACACACTGTTTTTGTCAGAGGCAACATGAACATAGAGTTTCCTGACTTCAAGCCTGGCTCTCTAGCCTCTATGCATTTTGCCTTTCCCTGAGAAAAAAATTAAAATGTAGAATAAAGAAATTTCTCCTTCAGGGAAATAATTGCCTCTTTCTCCTACCCCCTTCATAAATGGCTCTCTAATACGGATGTATAACTTGGATGTGGCTTTGCTCCAAAAGTAAATTAATTCCCCATGGAATTATGGTATGAGATAAAGGGGGACATGATACCACTGTGAGACTAACAAATATGAAATTTCCCTGACATATAACAAAACCAAGCATTACTAAAAGTTCAAATGGTAACAACTGCAGACAGTAGACCAGTACTTCGTCCTCCTCTTTTCTGACTAATCAGGTCTCTTCTCCCCAGAGATGCTCAGAACACAGTTAGGTGTCAAATCTAAAAGCAAAGGTATCAGGTTAGAGATTCCATCACTGAAGGTTTCAACAGATTCCAATAAAAGCAAACTGAATCTATGATCCAATAAGGCAAACAATTCCTTAGAGCAGTGAGTTCCAAACTTTTTCATCTGAAGAATAATCAGAATGCATTTTTAAAAATTTCTCACCCAGCTGAATATTTGTTATCTCCTCCACATAGAGCATGTGTTCCTTGAGATCAAAGCCCACATTTTCTATTTGTACTCCTAGCATAGTGCCCAGCGCATAGTAAATATTGCCTAAATGCATTTTCATGTATGTATTCAGCAGGAGAAATCCGCTGGCTAGCTACACAGTCCCCTTATATGGCATATAGGCTAAGGATGACCCAAGTGACTTCCTCGCTGTAGCAACTCTCCTTTTAATGGGGCAACCACCAGTAGGCTCCTTGGCAAGGTTTGAGTTGCCCCAACTTTGAAATTACCTAACCAAGCCCTTCCTGAGGCCACTTCATTACAAGGAGGAGGTTGCCCTCAAGTTTTTGTTATTGTTCAGTCCTTTCAGTTGTGTCCAACTCTTTGTGTTCCCATTTAGGGTTTTCTTGGCAAAGATAGTGGAGTGGTTTGCCATTTCCTTCTTCAGCTCATTTTACAAATGAGGAAACAGGCAAACAGGGTTATACTTGCCCATGGTCATACAGCTGGATTTGAAATCAGGTCTTCTTGACTCCAGGACCAGCATCCACCCATTGGCAAATGGATGAATCTCTTGTCTCCTCCATATCTCCACTCCACAAGAGTGTTTGTAGCTATGGTTTCACAAAGTATAGAGGGAAGACATCACGGAGCACTAAAGAGGGCAACAGAGTCCTGTTTGGTTACCCCTGACTGAAAGCTTAGAAATGAAAGTTAGGGTACACAGAGAAAAAATTCCTAAACTGGACGGTGCATGGAAAGATATTGAATTTGAAGTCGGAAGGTCTGAGTTCAAATTCAAACCCAGCCATTTAACTCCCTGTGACTTTGGGTAAGTCACGTAAACTCTTTATTCCTGCTTCTTCATCTGTTAAATGAGAGAGTTAGATTAGTTAATCTCTAAGGTCCCTTCCAGCTCTAAATATCTGTGATCCAAAGTCCTTTAACAGTGCTTACTAAAGTGTTAGTTTTTGTCAAGAAACAATTTACTGGAACTCAGGGGTTCTTGGTCTTTTCGTATCATGGTCCTCTTGGGCAACCTGGTGAAGTCCTTTCTTAGAATGTTTTAAAATATTTAACTGATATAATAAAATACAAGTCAACAAGCATCTATTAAGCACTTGCTATATGCTAGACATTACAAAGGATACTAATTATACTGATATAAATATGTATTTTTTTTCTCAACCAAGTTCAAAGATTGCCTAGCAACAGATCCTTGGGGGGAGGGCCATAGACCCCAGATTAAGAACCCTTGCTCTACACAATGGCCCTGGGATTCACAAAAGCAGTTGGAAGGGATCTTTGAGGTCATCCAGTACAACCCTTCGATTTTACAGATAAAGAAACTGAGACACATGGGGTGCAATAACTTTCCCAGGGCCACACAGTTATTGAGTAGCAGAGCCAGGATTTGAACCCAGGTTGTCTAAATCCAGACTTAGCACTCTTTTCATTACACCACACTGACTTCCAAGAGCCACATGGGATAGGCATAAGGAATTGTGAATTGTGTGTTGCAAGATCCATTTATATTCAACTTAATTCAATATGACAGCATTGGTAAAGTGCCTACTATGGATAAATATTGTGTTAGGGAGATAAAACAAACGGTCCCTGCCTGCTAGGAGCTTTCTTCTGGGTAAGAGTTACCGTTGACATGTGGGCAGTGTGCATAGTGGATAAAGAGTCAGACTTGAATTCAGCTCTGTGACTATCACTGAACCTCTCAGGGGGCTCAGGAAAAATTTTCCATGGGAGGTGGCTCCAGAATTGAGCCTGGAAAGAAGTTAAGTAATTGTGAGATGCAAAGGTGAGGAGGGAGTGCTTTAACTCCAAAGATATTTACAAAGCAGGAAGCTTATAGTTAGTATAAAAATTTTCTGTTGTAGAAGCCTAGCCTTCATCTTACTGGGGAAATACAAAGTGATTCCTCACTTATTCTTGTTGTCTGTGTGGCCTTGGTCAGGTGACTTGACTTCTCTGGGCCTCAGTTTCCTCATCTGTAAAATGAAGGGATTAGATTAGATATGAATGGTGATCAAAGTAATCTGGGGATGCCTAAGAGTTCCCCAGACCCTTTCAAGGAGACAATGAGGTCAAAACTGTTTTCATAATAATACTAGGATTTAGATTTTCTAATTTGATAAATAGATATATACATAGATATAAATAAAAGTTCTTTCAGGGCAGCTGGGTGGCACATAGAGCTCCAGACCTGGAATCAGAAAAACTCATCTTCCTGGTTCAAATCTGGCCAAAGACACTTCCTAGCTGTGTGACTCTGAGCAGGTCACTTAACTCTGTTTGCCTCAGTTTCCTCATCTGTAAAATGAGCTGGAGAAGGAAATGGCAAGCCACTACAATATCTTTGCCATGAAAATCCCCTATAGGGTCACAGTTGGAAACAACTGAACAACAACTATAATTTTTAAGAGTATAAATAAGTCCTGAGACCAAAAAGTTTGAGAACTTACATATTAAGCTGCCAAAGAATATTGGCTATATAATCAGAGGACCTGGGATCAAATCCCTTACTTAACCAGTTATGTAATCTTGGACAAGTCATTTCATCTTTCTTGGCCTCAGTTTCCTCAGCTGTAAAATCAAGGGGTCTGGGTTCAATGATCTCTAGCATCCTTGGCCTCTGAGTAGATGGCCTCTGAGTTCCCTTCCATCTCTTTTTTTTCTTATTTGCATCATCTTTTTAAAAATTTGTTTATTTATTTTTAGTTTTCAACATTC